AGTTTTTAATCAATTGACATATCTTATATCTTACGGAGTACTCCGTAATTGTTAATTCAAATACTTTTGTTTCGAGAATATTACGGAGTATGTTTGTTTCATTAGTGATTACCGTTAAAACCTCTATCTCTATAATTTTTTTCACTCCATGGAAAAATTAGTGTTCTCTTTCGGTTCATATGCTTATTAAAAAACAATTCAATTAATGTTGTACTTCTTTCGTTCTAATTTTCTTTGAATTAAAATTATGTTATGATTTAGGATTCACAAACATTTGTTTTCAATTGTTATATAATCGTAATTAATGGGCAGGCATATAACCCCCCAAATATTAGTTTAGATTAAAGAAATCAACATGGATATGAATAAAAAAATATGAAAAAAACCAAAATAGAAGTCATAAAGTCTTTTAAAACTAAAACATGAATATAATGACTGTGGTGTAAGAGTTTGTATTGGCAATGTGATGACAAAATGATGATAATGTAATATATTAATGTGATCAGTAAACTGTCAGTGATCCGCAGTGGCACTTTGCTTGGTGGCTGGCGTCGACGGATGGCAGTGTGGCGGTAATAATGTGACACTGTGACAGTTACAATGTAGCAATGTGGTGTGTGTGGCAGTGTAACAATGACAGTGTGATCTCTTGCTTTAGTTTTAAAAGACTTAGGACTCATACTTTAACATTTAGCTAGAAAGTTTTTCCTTTAGATTATCAAAAAAATTGATCCATCTTCTAGCATTTATATGATTTTCTTCTCTCATATTAATTTTAAAAAATATAATTATTCTTTTTTGGAGTAATTGAAAAAAATAAAAAAAATGATCCTAAGATTATTCGATCTCCTTTGCATTGATTTAAAAAATTAGATTACCAATATCAACCTTATGATTCAAAGAATATGATTCTTCTATCACACATCGCCGCATTAATTTAGAATAGAGAAATTAATAATATTATTCATCTCTCTTGCATCAAGAGGGTGTTTGTAAGTGACTAATTTAGCTTGTATATAAGGTGACTTCTACAAAAGTTGAAAGCAAAAAATATCTCATACATGTTTTTCGAAACGGGTTCTATGTACAAAATAGTGTTGGAAAAAATCGAAGCTTACATGCGAAACAGAGTAAGACTACTTGTCTACTTCCACTAAGAGTAGAAACTAAATATAATTCTTAAAAGTAGTGTACTGCCAAACACACTCTAATGTAATTCTCTTGCCTCGCATTAATTAAAAAATTTGATTCTTTTCTTCCCACATGATTCAAAAATAAAAGTTTGGATTAGCACTACCATGAATCAAAAAAATTATTAATTAAAAACACATCAAAAATCCAATGATTCCACTCCCCCATATTAATTTTAAAAAATAATATAAAAAATATTAGTGATCCTAAGATTTTGAATACAAAATCATTCAAACCCATGAAAACATTCTTTTCTTAATTTATCTGTTTTGAATATTTGATCATTTAAAAAGATAGCCTAGTTGTTTCGTGTTTTATAATAAATTAGTATAGATATTAAAATATATTTTTTATATTTTATTTTACATTAATTTTGAAAATAAGACAAATATAAACAAATATAATTTTTTTGAATTAAGAAACTATCTTTTTTGTGTGGAAGGAAATCTTATTAACTCATTGATAGTTTTATTATAAATGAAGTGGAAAAATATAAAAATAAAAAATACTTGTATATTCTAATAAAATCAGTGATAGTTATTCCATGATTAAATTACTCAATAACGTTGAACAATGATATTCTGTAACTTTTTTAAGATTATCATATCATAATAAATAATATAATGAAAAATAATACTCCGTATATTTTTAGATTTCAACCACAAATCATCTAAAGTCTATAAACTATAAATTGTTTAGCATTAAAATAAAATCATAATATCAATGCATTCGAACTATAAAATTATGTATAATATTTTTTTTCTATTTTAACATAAATATAGTCTAGTCATATCTTGTTTTATAAATATTTTAATGTAATTTTTAAAATATAACAACAACAACAATGAATAGAATAAAAACTAACTTATTATACCATGTCATTGAGTTAGTGGTAAAAATACATCTTATTTATTGAGTTAGAGGTAAAAATACATCTTATTTATTAATTGAAAGGTTTTTTTGGAGAATTGAAAGTTTTATTATAAATGTAGTTACAATTATTAAATTAGGAAAGAATGTTATCATAAAAATGAATTTTTCTTCCATAATTAAATTTATTCAAATATTTCATATAAAACTGTTGATTTTATGTTTTGTATGTTTTCAATTAGATGGCGTATTAGGTGTCAAAAAATTTGAAATTTCATGATAGGTGAAGAAAATATTTTATTTAGTTAGTGTCAATATTTAAATAAATATATTCAAACTAACTTCATTTACACGTATCATATACAAATACAAAGTATAAAATTTATTTACTAGGGAAGAGATTGTTTTATTTATTATATAAAAGTGTAGTCCAGTCATATATTGATTTTTAAATGTTTTATTTTGGTTATTAAAATATATTATTTGTTTTAATTTTACGTTATTATTGAAATAAATAGAGCTAAACCTAATTTGATTTTAACATATCATAAACTAATACTCGTATAAAAGTTATTTAGATGTGAAAAAAATCATCTGATTTATCAACTAAAAGTTTTCCATAAATGAAGTGAGTAAAAAATATTGTAATGAATTCGAAAGAATATTATCTTAAAAATGAATATATTCTTCCATAATTAAATTTAGTTAAAGATTGTAATACCAAAACATTGATTTCACATTTTCTATATCTTTAATTAGATGACATTTTAGGTGCAAAAATAAATATAAAATTTGTTTATATGTGAAGAAATATTTTATTTAGTAGGTGTCAGTATTTAAATAATGTTAATCAAGACGAAGATCATCTAAACCTAACTATAATGAACAAAAATCGAATTTGTTTATAAGTGTACTCTATTTATTATTTTAAAATTTTTTCATAAATTTTATGATTTATTGAATCTAAGACAGGAATTAAAAATATTTTTATGTATAGTTGTGAAAAAATAATATTTTATATATAAATAAATTATAATGAAAATATTTTTAATTCTAAATTCTTATTCATGAGTTCAGAATAAATAATTATCATTTTTGGGGAAAAGAATAAAAAAAGTGAAATAATTGAAGAGAATAAATTTGGTTTAATTGCCACATAATTTGTCACATGTCACGTTCTTAACATGCCACGTCTCCCGTTCTTACTATGTCAGTTGTTAAATTCTTACATATTGTAGCCTCAAATTTATGTATAAAAGATTATAACAAAAATACATTAAATCCTTATAATATGGTATTTGTCATAATTGTTTTGCAAATTTACTTAAATAACAATAAAACATAGTGAATTTCTCTATATCGCATAACAAGTTTTGATTTCTATAACCAGTAATTAATAAATTAATTAATAATTAATTCGAGTGTACTAAAATGCCCTTTATATAATTTTAAGTTTATTGCCCCACCGCGTCCTACTGTCCTTCGCCGGCTGTCAATAAAAAAATGTCAACATCAGTGTCCCGCCGTCACTCCGTTAATGTTCATTATGCATGACTTCTGTGGTTTCACTTTAATAAGTAATAATACCTAATATCGTTGTTAATGTCTACATGTCCATTGTCAAGGCATTGTCGGTTGAAAAAAGGCTTTGTCATAGTTATAAATGTCCAATGCACTAGCCATCAATGTTCCCAATCAGTAAACGCTATCCATAATTTTTACAATATCCCATATGTATAATTTTTACAATGTCCCGGATCACTGAACAATGTTAAGAATTTTTTACAATGTCCATCGAAAAGAAAATTTAAACAGACGAATCAAGAAAAAAAATAATCTATCAAAAGGAGAAAAAATGAAACCTATATTTTTATACGGAATACAAAATAATTAAGGTACAAGGGTATTTTAGTAAATGTATATTATTAATAATTAATTTAATGATAGTTTTGGAAAAAAATTGTTTGGTGCTATTTGAGGAAAAATGTTAAGCTTTATTGCTACTTTGAGCAAATTTCACAAATTTTTTTACCTGATGAAAAAACAAGTATTCTCATTCGATTCACACTCTTATTAAAACAAAATTCAATTAACATTGTACTACATTTGTCTTTTATATATATATTTTTTCGATTATGAATTTTATGGGTTCTGTTTTTAATTTTTTACCACCATTTTTTAAAAATACATTCAATTACAATATATATTTTAAATTAAGAATTCATTTCAAAATAATTTTGGAATGTCATATGCTTATATTCTATATTTATGCATAAATAGAGATATTATTAATAAAAAACCTTACATTAAAGATCTTGAAAAGTAAATGGAATGAGATATATTCAATATAAGACAAAGGAAATACTTATTTTAATTTATAGAAAGAATTATATTTTTTCAACACATACTCTAACTAACAATTTAAATGAATACTCATATACTTTCTTTATGTTTTATTTTAAATTTAAACTCTCCACGTTATTTACGAGTAATTATCATCTTCATATGTCTATGGCACACCATTTAATACTTCTTACGCTTTTCATAAGCCAATATATAGTTTTTTCTCAAAAAGTTCAAACTTTCTTGATGTTTATATACTAGGATCCATAAAATGAGGCATAGTGAGAATGAATCTATGTATTATGAAAGAATTTGTCTAGTGGTGGGATTATAGAAGAATGGAAACTATCAATTTTGCGAACGAAAAACCGTAGTATCCAATGTCGCCGTAGCCCATAATAACCAATCCCTTCCGAAATTTCTTTTAGTCCCAAAAATTTATATACTCCGTATTACATTCGAGTTTCATTACGAAATATTACTATTATTTTATTCTGAAATTACAAATAAAATATAATTTTATATGTGTAAGTATTATAAAATATTGATATACCAAAATTATATATTAAGATGAAGTTAATTATCTTAAATTTATATCATACTCAGTAATAAATTACCATAGTTTGGGATCGGAATTCTATTTCTGGCCAACAATTATTTGAACTTTCTAATGGCCGTTCATAAACCGGCGCATTTCAGACTATGAAGGAAGGACCGAAGGAGTGTCATTTTGGCCGCCGGCTCCAACGTTCAACCTCACAGAACGCATGTTTCTTCTTCTTCTTCTTCTTCTTCTTCCGAATTCATCATATCTACCAGGCGGAATCAGAAATCTCTCCCGCTCTTCGTTTCAATCTCGCTCATGCCCGTCTCCAAGGCGAGAAACCTAGCCTCGCTGCTCAGTTCCGCCGCCGCACGGGCCAGAATCACCGCTTCCGCCGCCTCGGGTTCGGCTCAGCGCCGCTTCGTTCACTCCTCGAACACTCGGTCTCGCTTATTGGGATTCTCGTCCCTGCTGCCCCGTGGTTCCCTTGATTGCTTGGACGGCGAGCATGATATTTTCGATCGCGGTACACACCTATTTGCTGGCTTTTTTACTTTTTATTTTTATGGATCGTGGTTACTGAAAGTGAGTAGGGTGTTGCTAACTTTGTTCTTTTGGGAATAGATGATCCAGAGTTTAAGCTGTCAGGCGAAATATCTTCCATATTATGTGGTATGTATTCTATAGCACCATGTGTCATGGCTTACTCCCAGAAACATTTTGTTCAATTATATTCTAATTAAGGAGAACTGTTTACTTTTATTCGAATTTCTGCTTTTCTCTCCTTAGGAAGGTGACTGCATTGCATTGTATGCAGACTAGTGAAAACTAACCGTGAGATGCCTAACCTGAAAAACGTGCTACAGAAATGGAAACAGTTTTGTATTGGAAAATACCATGCATAGAGGAATTTAAGAGTGGGTTTTTAATGGCACAAACCAATTTGATGCAGTTTAACTTTCAAACACGACCTGAACTGTACCATGTTAATGCATGTTGTAGAAAAATAGAGATATTCTGATCCTATGTTGCAATCTAGAGATATACTGATTGCTCCTAGTGGTTTTAGGAATGAGGGACTGCAAGCAATATGTGCCTCTACGTGCTGTGCAAGTCTAAAACTTAAGGTCCATTTGGTTTGGTATTGGTTTGTCTGTCTAAGAATCCCAAACTCACACTTCTTGTTTGGTGATAAAAATTGACCCCCCTGAAACCCATACCTGGTCAAGCCATCTTGGAGACCTTAATGTGGAACTTAAATCCTTGAGGATTTTTTGCGATGATAGGGAGAAATCTATTACAACACCTCAAACAGCATTCCTATCCTTGTCAAACTGAAAGCAAGGTTGTGCAAAAATTTGGCTTTTGTAATTTGTCTCAAGTATGGTTTAATTATTTCTTATGTTTTTTTACAAACATAAATTTGGTTAGAGCATGTACTCAGTAGTTCCCAGTTGTGTATGCTGATGAATTGTATTGAGCCAATGATGTAGAAGGCATAAACCTGTCAAAAACAGTTTCAGCATTTTCAAGCCAAAGATCTTGTTCACAATACTACATGTCTGGTATAGAGGGCACATAGGAAACACATGACATCTGCATTTCTCAAATGAATTATGCAATAGATACATCTGAAATAGACATGCTGAATTACAAATCAATTAGTACATCTATGGTTCCTATTGTAAGTCTTACGTGGATTGAGGGGTAATAAAATATGTGGATATAGGAATGCACATTCACATTGCTTCATATTGCACATATTTAGCAGATATTTGCATTGGATCAGGACTGTTCACGGTCAGCCAATATGGGTACTGCTTTACTGTTGTAAGGCGGGTCATTAATTGCACTTTGTTTGATCAAACTAAAGGTTTAATTGTAAACCATTTTTATTTTCAATTTTTTTCCTGTTGTGTGCAAATAGTTATCAAAATATGTTGACGTGCTTTTTAGTCATGTTGTTGATCCTGCTTGGTAGTATCTGCATAATGCCTTGCATTCATATTTATATCAAATGCAGGTGCAAATTCAGATGTCGTAAACCCACCCGAATCACAGGTGACTAGTAGTCACACACCTTTGGAAAATGTTTTGGGTGTCCCATGGATCTCCAAAATTTCACATAGTAATATAAATTTGCATAGGAAGGAAGGTTCACGAGAAAAGAAAAACAAGCGGGTTTCTGTGACTGGCCAAGATTCTCGGCTAGACCACTTAGTTGATTTGTGGGCTGACAAACTAGGTGCAGATGCTATGGTTCAGGTAATCAGTAAAATTGGACGGGAAGCTGGTCTGGTCGACTATAATATATTGATAAGAAGCTGTGTAGAAAAGGCAAGGATGACGGACGATGAAGATGAGTCATTAAAGCAACTTTCTATTGCATATAAATTTCTGAGATCAATGAAGGGACATGGTTTCCAATTATTGGAAAACTCTTATGGTCAAGTTCTTATGTATCTCATTGATTTTGGTCTGGTTCCAGAGTTTCACTTATGCTGTGAGCTCATAAGAGATGGAAATGATGATGCAATTCCAAATTTAGCTTACTATGAGGTGCTGCTCTGGATAAAAACCAATAATCATGATGCAATTGGAGAAGTCTGCTATAATCTTGCACTCTATGATGGTGAAGACAAACATACCTTTCTAGGTTTGTATTTTTTACCGGGGCTAATACTTTCTAGATACTTCATCCGTCCCAAAGAGTTTGTCCACTTTAACTTTTCTTAGTCATAAGATTTCTTTTGAAAAATGGAGTTAATGAAATAATTTTATCATATTTTTTTCAAATTTATTATGTAAGGTACTAGCTGTCAAACATTCCCCTAGGAGACTGTAAAAAGTCAAATGAGACAAACTCATTTAGATGGAGGGAGTGTTTTATTTGTAAACCATGAACATTGCATTGTATGACACAATATGTTTTCATTTTTGGTTATGCTTGTGGTTGACTCTTGTGCTTAATATTAAACTTAAAAACAAGTAAAATATTCAGAGCAACTGCAAATGTGCCTTTTTGCTTTTCCAGATTGTTAAAAAATAAATTTATACTCCATATTTAAGGTCATTTTGAAGATACAAATTACTACTACTGTGCCTTTGTGCCTTTGTGTAATATTTATCTGAATGTTGCAGAAAATTATTTGCTAGCGATGTGCGATGGTGACTACTGTAAAGAGTTGTTTTTGCAGCTTGCTAACAATCTCGACATCACAAAAGTTACAACCATGAAAAGCTTGGAAAAAATCTTCAAAGCTTTGGGGAGGTTTATGTTGGTGAACATTGCAGAGAGGTGTTTTCTGGATTTGAAAGCCACCGGTATAATCAAACTCAATATCATTATTTTTTGGGAGATTAGTATCTATTCATGCTCAGGGTTGCACAAAGAAAAAGGATTTTAGTTTAGCATATTGGATACCTCTATTTATTGTCTTAACAGTGGTGGGATTGCTGACGAAGAAGTTATACTATAAAAGTAAGATTGTATGGTTGGTATTGAACCTATTGATGTTAAAAGTAAGATAAGGCAAGAGTGAATGTGAACCTTACAAATATTACCAAATAGGGTATGAGACAAAGTATGTGTTTCTCTGTGCTTATAAACTGATCAAAACTGGCTATAAACAGTTTTTAACTTATAAGTCGGCTGATGACATATTTTTGTATGCGTATTAGCTGACGTATAAGCTGCTTATAGTAAGTGTTTCTCTGTGCTTATAAGCTAGTCAAAATTGCTTATAAGCAAATTTTAACTTATAACTCAGCTGATGACATGTTTCTTTGTGCTTATAAGCTGACTTATAAGCTGCTTATGAGCCAGAAAGAATAAGGGGCTGTTTGGCAACTTCTGAATAGGTAAGTGCTGAACCAGTAAGAGGTCTGAACCATTAAGTGCTGAACCAGTAAGAGGTCTGAACCATTAAGAGCTAGTATATTGCTTAACTATTTAGAGGCAAATGTCTGATCAATTCAGATAAGAAGTGTTAACCATTCAGACTCTGTATAATACTTAACCATTCAGAGGCAAATCTCTTAACTATTCAGACATCTGAACTATTAAGAGGCTGAAACAAACAGTCTCAACCATTAAGTGCTGAACCATTCAGACATCTGAACCATTAAGAGGCTGAAACAAACAGCCCCTAAGTAGGTCTTAACTACTTATTTTGAAGTCAGTTTTTTGTTTCTCCGTATTGACCGGATCAACTACCAAACTGTCCCTCAACATTTATGAGTATTTACAAATGATTTATCTATCATTTAAGTCATTTTATTTCCACAAAAGAATATTTGACTTATAAGCAGTTTATAAGTTAAAAATGGCTTATCAGCAATGAGCCAATAAGCACTAGCACAGAGAAACACCCCCATAAGTGAGAAAAAATAAGTGGCTGTTTCTCTATGTTTATAAGTGGGTCAAAACTATTTATAAGCAGTTTTTAACTTATAAGTCAACTGATGATATGTTTCTATTTGCTTATAAGCTGCTTATAAGCCCGAAAAATTAAGTAGCTCTTAGTTACTTATTTTTAAGCTAGTTTTTTCATTTCTCCATTTTGAGTAGATTATTTACAGAACTGTTCCTCACTACTTATGAATATTTCCAAATGACTTATTTATTATTTGAGTCATTTTTTTACCTCCATGACAAAATATATGACTTATAAGTAACTTATAAGTTAAAGACTGCTTATCAACAATAAGTCAATAAGCACCAGCACAAAGAATCACCCCCTAAGTAAGTCTTAGCTACTTATTTTTAAGCCTATTTTTTGTTTTTCTGTTTTGACCAAATTATTTACAAAACTGTCTCTCACTATTAATGAATATTTACAAAATGACTTATTTATTGTTTAAGTCATTTTACTTCCATGAAAAAATATCTAACTTATAAGCAATTTATAAGTTAAAAACTGTTTATCAACAATAACCCAATTAGCACCAGTATAGAGAAACACCCCCAAAATAATAGGATATAGGAATTACTTTTTTGTGACGTTTGTGTACATGTGCAACTGATAAGTTCTGTGGTTTTGTTGCAATTTTATCTGAAATAATCACCATTTCTACTATCATTGAGATGCGATTTATTATTGACTAAGTTCCATAAATGGTCCCTAATTGCAGGTGGGTTTCCATGTTTAGTCTCCGATTATAAGATAAATGGTCCTCAATTTTTGAAAACTATTTCATAAATAGTCTTTTAGGTCAAATATGACAAAATATTTTTTCTACATATAGTCCATGAAGGACCTAATATGGAATAATTTTCAAAAATGGAGGATCATTTATGTAATATCTCAAGATTGGGGACTAAATATGGAAAACTAACTTTAATTAATAGGGATCATTTATGGAATTTATTTTTTATTATTTTATCATAAAGATTTAAACCCATGTTTACCGCGATTCTTCATATGAATTCTCATTCATGCAGATATTGAAGAAGCAAACATCTCAACTCTCATCTTTGCATACTGTAAAAATATACCAAATTTAGCGGTGAGCATCTTATCATGAATGCTATTGGCAATTTCCTGTACATATGAAGAAATAACTTGATGTGTGTGAATGTGCCAAATTTGCTGGTGACGAACCTTCAGATGAATAGCTATCATAATATCTTAGCCTTGACTTCTGGACAAACCTTTAACAAGATTTTACCTCCATTATAATATGTTTGCATTTAGATGAAAATGGTATTCATTAAATAGAACCACATAGGCATGCAATCCCTATTTGGTTATTTATTTCCAAGCTCCTCACAACATGTCAACTCTCCCCTAGGGATGCCACCTTTTCACAATATTAACTGAATATGCTTAACCGAACTTATCAGGATTGGTAAAAGTTGTCATCCATACAACATTACAGCAATCCAATTACTATTGAAATTTGCATTAGTGAAAGATGTAAATTATACGTGGAGCGTGTTGAATGTTTGAAGCTGACTATGGTTAGCTGGTGAAAATTGTATGTACAATACTTTAGACACAAGTCGATTTAGTTTGACCAATATTTTTGTATGCACAGGACTTTCCTAACCCCAATATGAAAAACTTATTCCTTCTATGGAAAACTTTTCTAATCCCAATATGAATTACTTTCCTAACCCCAATATAAAAGACTAATTCCTTATATATGTATAGGACTTTCTGTATGTATAAAATACAATAATACCTTTATCTACTAGTATACTTTTCGTAATTATAATTTTCAAAAGTATCATGTTAAGTTTCTTAAAATTTCCTGAATCAGAAATGCTATTTTCTAGACTTCTAGCTTGTCTATACTAAAACTACCTCTTGGGATTTAAATGGTTAAGAAGTTGTTCTCTTCGTTTGATCTCATTTTATTGAGGTTTGATTTGGTGTGAGTTGATGTGATTCTAGTTAAATTTAAAGCCGTTACTGATTTGATATGTCTTATCTGATTTGAATCGATTCCAATAGAATAAGTAGTAAGTCATAAGAATAAGTTGAATAGAATAGAGCCTAAGGCTCTTAAATTTTCATCTAATTATAACACACCTACTTTATTTGATACATTATGATTCAAGGTTTCAAATTGGATGGTTTTCATATTCTACTCTTTATATTAGTCTCCTACCCTCTGATTGACTCTTTTATGGACGGAAAGGTTGAAGATATCGTTCTTAAATTCAAACATTTGCACGCTGAGATGGATCTCACACCTACATCTGCACAATATGAGAAGCTCATTAAGTTCTTCTGTGAATTACTTAAGGTAATAACTTATACTTGATTAGTTTCATGTACTAATTTTTTAAAGATTAAAATGGCTCACTTTCCTCATTCTTAGTTAGGCTAGTAAGTGGTAACTCCTTAATGGAAGTTGTAGTGTTCTCCTGATTGGTGGATATGCAAGCTGCAACGATATTATTCATTAGATATACTGACTTTTCTTTATATCTTACTCTGTATTATTTTACAATATAGGTACATGTTGCGCTTGACTTGGTGGATCAGATGCATAAGCAGAGTTTGACTTTATCAAAAGAGGCATTTCATGTTATCTTAGATGCATGTGAAAAAAGCCGCGAGTACAACTTGGTATGCTGCTTTTCTCCATATAGGTATCCTATCGTGATCCTAAAGAATCCTGAACAGTGACTTCTCCCTCCTGCTAGAGCACCACATGTTCCAAGCATGATATAAAATTTTAAACATGATACTAGAACCTTGTACATGACTGAAACAACATACATTGAACTTGAACTTGAACTATGACTTTTGGTGTCCCCAAGAGCATTCACAACTTTTGCTCTGACTTTTACTCTGTTAGTGCCTAACGTGAATGCTCAACTAGTTCTTTGATTAATTTACTCATGGGGTCCCTTCTTTTTCTTCATCATCATTATTTTCTTTCTATTTCTTTTTTCAAAAGCTAAGTAATTCAATTCCATAGATATGCTCATATGGAACTGTTTAAAAAGCATTTTCAAGCAGAGAACTAGCTATTTCTACTGTTTGGTGACTGCATGCCTTCATAAAGTTGCTGAGAGTTGATTAAATTTCCCAAAAACCAACTAACCAAGGAACATCACCACATAATGGAAGTAAACCAGGAGATTTTTGTCCGGAACAGTGTCCATAATATGCCTTATGTGTCACCACGTGAAGGTGCATGAAGGTTGGTGGCACGTGACAACTTGTGTTGAAGTGGCTAGATGTGGACTTCATGGCATAGCTTCACGCTACAAACCTGAGCAAGGGGATGCCGTTTACTTTATGTAACCATGACTAGAGATGCATTGAATCAAAGGAAGCAACTCGTGTAATAATTTTAAAAGGTAGAGGCAATCTCTAGTCGCCTCAATGTCTTAGGTGTGTAAGGCAAACACCATTCAAAAGTCCATGTTCGGTACTTCGGTTCACGGTGAAAAGTGGGCGGATAGGGTTCTGATCATGTTGCATTTTAAGAATATCTAGGATTGGTTTCTCATACCATGTTCATTACTCTAGTCCCTTTTTACCATTCTGTCTATCTCACTATCTCTGTCCTATTTCATGTATAATCTGCTATCCAAAAGCGTCCCAATGTTATCAATACCTAACATGTTCAATATCAATCACTCAATACCGGTTATATGTGGAGGTAGAGGGTGATATGGATTGTGAAGGAAGTTGGAGAAGTGAAGATATTTTTGGGTTTTTTATTTGATAAGGGATAAACTAAGCTTGAATATGAGATACTCTACGCTCAAATCTGGCTTCGGATTAAGGGTCCATTTGAGAAGGGGAAAATGATTTTTGGAAAATGACTTCTGAAAATTGAGTTTTTTTTTTCAAAAGTCATTTTTCTTTCATTTCTTTTTTCTGATGTTTGGGGAAAATTTGGGGGAAAACCTATGGAAGGAAGAAGAGAAGATGCTGATGTTGGCCCCGGTGGGAGATTTGGACAGAGCTGGAGAAGGAGACTAAAGGAGACAATGGAGGACATCGATGGTAGATGGCGGACGGAGATGGAGAAGACGATGGAGGCCAACAATCCATGATTGAGACAATGCAGGGTAGCGATGGTGGATTGATGGAGAGTGGCGATGTTGGGGATGATGGAGGAAGAAGATGGAAAAGGTGTTGGAATGGGGGATGATGATTTGGTGTTAGAATTGAGGATGACCCTTTGGAGAAGGCTGGCAGAGCATAAAAAACAATCGGAAAGTCGTTTTCTGCTAAAATAGCTTCATTTTCGCTTGACCAATAAGCCATTTTCTTTGACCTTGTTATTAAACACCAGAAAAAGGGAAAAATGACTTCTGGAAGTCATTTTCCCTCTTTCCAAACGGATTTTAACACTGTTTGGTTCAAGGAATTCGCAATGAAAAGAAAAGAAAATGTGTTTTTCTCATTTTCCTTTCCAAAATAGGAGGAATTTTGTTTTCCCTCCTCTTAGTACAGTTCCCTTCTCATTTTCTTCTCGTTCCTCTTTCTTTTCTTTTCCTCTCTAACCAAACAAGAAAAACTGTTTTCAATCTCATTTTCTTTACTTTTCCCTTTCAAATTCCTTGACCAAATAGTGTCTAGAATTTAATCAAGAATGTCTACTTATTAAATAACTAGAACTTTACACTCACACTTAAGAGAACCACTTTTAAGATATAAAAATGAGAGATTTGGATAAAATAGCATCACACTATTTTATATTTCACTCAAAGAATAAAACACATATTCCATACAATTTTTGGGTGATCTATTACAAATGAGAAGGGCTATTTATAGCCAATGTACCAAATATACCAATTACTATAATGATTAGATAATAATTAAAATATAAATGTACAAAGCTACTCTAGAAATAAAAATGGCATACAATAGAACATTACAACTTTATATTTGTATTCTAAAGTTATTGTTTTAGAAAAAGTAATGTAAGCTCTTGAAATTTGAGTACCCAAATTTGGCCTCTTCTTCTTAAGTCTAAGGACAATTATCCGCATCATCAAAGTAGTCAATGGATATTTATTGTTTATGAACCGTAAATTATTTCCTCTTATTTCCCACCTTTCCTATTCAATCAAGACATAGTAATCCTCCCATTATCCATATGGAATTTGAAGCTAACATATATGAAAAAATTAAAAACCAAAGAACAATTCAATGAATAGTACTGTGTCCTTTGGAATAATCTATCTATTTAGACTTTAGATGACGTCTTTGCTTAATATTTTCCTATCAAATGATTCTCTAATCAAGACTTTATTTTTAATACCATGGATTAATCTCCCACATGATAACTTAACAAAGATTATGAAATATGAAAAAGACTAAGGCTAAGAATTTTAAGACACCATGTGAATAATTCGGCCATTGGTTATATTAGGGAAAAGTAGAAAAACACAGGATTTTATAATGCGCTGCTTATGAATGAGGTTTATAATATAAGATTACTAGGATAGCATTGGTTATGTTGGGATCTATGGTGTCATGGATTCAATAAATGAATATGACCAACTCCACCTTTTTTTTGCATGCCAACACTTCATGTCCCAAACTTATTGAGATAGGGCCCAAAAAATCCATGGTGTATTGTTATGATTTTTATTATTACCATTATTATAATTATTATTCTTAATATTAATATTTATAAATAATGATAATACTACTCCGTAATAATAGTAATAGTGTTATCATTATATGCTTTTCTTAAACATTCAATTGATTTTTTTTGCCGATGGTCTTTATGAATAAACCTCTCTATTGTTAGGTGGGGTAATATCTACGCACATACACCTCCTCAAACCCCCCATTGTGGGACTTTACTAGGTCGTTGCATTCAATCGATTTTTTTCTTGTTTCTTTAAAAGAACTGACTTGATTACGATCATACCAATTTGGTGCTTTCAAAAAATTTAAATTTTCTACACAAACTTGTTTACCAATGTTGCGCTTTTGTTTTTTGTAATCAAATGCTATGTTTTCAATTGATCTGTGGTTTGTGTCATTGCCAACTGTATGCAGTGCACCAATATGATGAAATGCTACTCCTTTACTGCATAAATGTTAATATACTACGTCTATGTTAAGATTTTTTTTAATTATATTACATTATGTTTTCTTGTGATTAAAAAGGTTCGTCGGATGCATTCTATAATAACTTCCCATAATTTGCAACCGAACAGTGAGACCTTCAGGATGATGATAAACTTGAGTGTAAAAATGAAAGATGTAAGTCTCTCTTGGCTCTTGAATTTCTTGTGCTTACATTATTTTTGGGTCTAAAGCATTAATAAGTGTATTGCTTGTTTCTTTCGTGCAGTTTGAGGGTGCATATAACTTAGTCAGTGATCTGAAGAAATATAATTTGACTCCTACAGCTAGCATGTATAATGCCATAATGGTTGGCTGTTTCCAAGAGGTCGCTTTATGGACATTGTCTTCTGATTTTTCATTCTTGAAATATATCTTGATGGTTGCATATGTGACATCTGTCATTGTTGTGTGAGGTGGATAAGGGTCTAGCTAGGAAGGAAAGTCGTATTCATGTGCATCTCAAAGTTGAGGTTTTTAGGTGTAGTGTCTAGACTCAAATCACCCAATTTAATTTTCCTTTTCACACGTTTACCACTGAGGAGAAGAAATGGTACATTAAGTTGATCTGTTTTGGTGGGGCGCTATTTGTAGTCTTCGACCGCACAATTTCTATTCGTAAATATATTTAAACACGGTTTCATGCATTTAGTACATTTAGGGTGATGCCACATTTTTAAAGCTTGCCGGCAAAAAGTTACTATTTCAGCGAAATCATAATTGGGTGTCAATAAATTTAGATAAGTTATATCTTGTTTATGGTTACTATTGCTATTGTGTTTATTTTCCTGCACTCAACTCAGTTTTATGCAGAAAAACATACCTGGTGGACTGAACGTTCTCAAGGAAATGGAAGAAGCAGGGGTGAAACCTGACTCTCAAACGTTTTCCTATCTTATAAGCCGCTGCAATTGTGAAGATCATATCATTAAGGTTGCAAACATTCCTCTCTTTTGAACACTTAAGGTTTAGTAATACATTTTTTAAAGGAAAGGTTTAGTAATACATTTTTTTAAGGAAAGGTTTAGTAATATTTAGTTTAGCAGTTTTGCATATTTAGTTTCAATTACTATTGGGTGTTCCGAGATTGTTACGTTTGGCATACATGAGCTTTTCATGACCCGGATTGTGTAAGAATGGGAAAAAGTCACTTGGAGAAGATTGTGAGTCATGAAATTTGTACGGCTTGTGGTGAAAAAAGGGGGTGATGAGCTTCTATTTTTATTAATTGACTATTCCTCAAAAGACCTACACATGGTGTTTATTGATTTGGAGATGCTTTGAGTAGCCGGTTGCTTACATTCAAGCTATTAAGGACATCTATGATGGAGCGAGGACCAGGATGAGGTCGTTAGGAGGTGAATCAAGACTTCTCAATTGGGCTTTGCTCTCAATCCTTTCTTGTTTGCCTTCGTTGTGGATGTTTCAACACAGGATATTCAAGGGGAGATACATTGGCGCATGGTGTTTGCGGATGACATTTTTCAAATTGACGAGACACATAGCGAACTCAATTATAGGCTAGGGCATCCTCAATGTAGAGAGTCTTGAGACTCTTTTAGACTCTGCCACCTTAGCATTCTAGTGTTTCACTCTCTTCTCCAAACTTTTAAAAAACTACCCCAAAATTCAGACTCCTCACATCAACATTCCACTATCTTTTTTTCTATTAACTTTGTTTATATTAAATCAATATTTAATACCCCCTCCGTCCCTGAGTATTTGTCCACTTTTGACTTTTTTCAGTCAAAATTGGTAAACTTTAGCCTCAGATTAAATAAAAATGATATTAGATATTGATACAAAAATAGTCTTATTAGATTTTTTACATCAAATATTTTCAAAATATCATTTTATCTAATTAATATATAATATATATTTTATTTAATTATAAGTCAAAGGTTGAAAACGGTTGACTGAAAAAAGTCAAAAGTGGACAAATACTTAGGGACGGAGGTAGTACATAATTGTATAATGCAATGATTTTTCAACCTGATTTATTTATGCCTTACTCTGTATGTTTGCTTTTTTTCATGCAAATATGCAATTTTCCTTTGCCATTACTTTTTCCTTTACATGTTTTTCAGTGTTCTTTTTTGTTTGAGTCGAGGTTTATAGGAAATGGTCTCTCTACTTTCTAAGCATGGGAAATGTCTGCTTACACTTACCCTCCCCCTTGTATGTGGGATTCTTTTGAGTTTGTTGTTGATAATTCCTCCAAGGATTTCTTTGTGGCTTCTGGATTCAAACTTTAGCCTTCAGTTTCTTTTTAATCCATTCAAAAACACTCTTAGAAAATAGCAAACAATGATCAGGCCAAATCCTCACTACTCTCTCAACCCTCCTTGCCCATTCCTGTCTGTATTCCTGAACCCTGAATGGAGTCGGTCTGGATGATGCTACTCACTCGGGTACTCATCGCCTCATCGGGATCCTAGTACTCGAGAGGGCCATAGTATTCTAGCACGTTTTTTGTAAGTTCAATCCAGTTAAGCAAATTTTGTTCTGGAATTACCCGAGAAAAAGACCCAGATCATCTTCTTTCAGGTACATTGCGAATATGTCAACGTTGTCATCCTCCGTATCTCGTAGTAACGGAAATATTTCCTGCTTTCAAGATCCTGCCACACGTGACTCCTCCATTGAACTTGGAAACTTGATTTTTTGTGTTAGGAAGCTGATAGTGCCTGCACGAGCTCTCTGATTCATCCTCAGAATCATCTTCGAATTGCTTTTTTTTCCCAGTGTTGCTGTGTTGAATCGGTTTTGAGTTTCCAAGGCCGCTGCTTTATCCCTTAATTTGTCCATAATGCTGAGTGGTGCAGCACTGGCAGCCCAGGGATTTTTGTTTCCTCTAGGATTACCCTTAGCAGCAGAAGTACAAATGTTCACCATGGTTGCTCAGGAGCATAGCTCTGATACCAAACATGTCTCCTCCATTGAACTTGGAAACTTGATTCTTGTGTTAGGAAGTCGATAGTGCCTGCACAAGCTCTCTGATTCATCCTCAGAATCAAATTCGAATGGCTTCTTCTTCCCGGTTTTGCTGTGTTGGATCGGTTCTGATTTTCCAAGGCCACTGCTTTCTCTATTAATTTTTCCATAATGCTGAGTGGTGCAGAACAGGCAGTTTTGCTTCAGGATTACCCTTAGCAGCGGAAGAACGAATGTTCACCATGGTTGCTCAAGAGCATACTCTGATGCTAAACGGAAGCAAGGTCAGTCATGTAGGAACTTAAAGAACAAAACTGGAAAATAAACTCTCCTACCTACACTCTCAATCAGAATCTCACCAAGAATTACAGGATAGAAGCCTTTTGAGAATTTCTGAATGGGAAACATTTTTCTCTCACATATCCTTAGCATAATCCTGCCAAGGAATAAATAGAGCAGGATAACAAATTAAATAGCAGAAGTTCCCTACATTGTTGGGAACCAAGAGACAGTGATTGACTAGTGGGTCGTGATGGAGATTCCATGATCCAATTGACTCACAAATTCTGAAATTGATAACTGACTCCACTTATTTAAAGTATTGTTTTTGACTCATCCAAAATATTTAAGTTGCTAACTGGATGTAATTAATTAATTCAAACAAACAGTTAAATCAGATTCAAACATCATTCGCCTTTGCCTTCTTGCACAATTGGTGTGTGAGTAACGGCTTGGTATTAATGGGGTCTGTGTGTGTGTGTGTGTAGTGCGTACACTGAAGTAGAGAGGTCATTTCTCAAAGACCCTCAGCTCAAAAACATTGCGATAGTTAATGGTTTTATTTTCAAAAAAGAGTATATATTAAGATTTTTCATGATGATCTCAAAATTATCTCTGTTCCTTTCATTTACTTTTTCATAAGACTGGTAAAAGGTAGTAATACATTTTTTCTTTTAATCCATGAACATGTAAGTTTTTTTCTTTGATTGAGTTTCATGTAAAGTCACGTGACAGTTTTCACTTTGATGATTTTGTAGTTTTTTAAAGAAATGACGCTCTCCGGGGTTCATGTAACGACACATGTTTATATGGCCCTTATAAATGCATATGCATCCTGCGGACAGTTTGAAAAGGCTAAGCAGGTATTCCACTCTGAGTTGCCAACTCATCAGTTTTGAGTCATTTTAACCGAACAGAACCTTTAGCATAACTTTCTGAGCATCTTGGTGTCAGATATAAATCTAATCAAGAAGGCAAATATATTGAGTGTAGGTAATCTTTGACAAAGGGATACCAGCAAAGAACTTGAATGAAGTAAAAAGTGTTCTCGTTTCAGCTCTAGCAGTCCATGGAGAAGTTTCTGATGCCCTTGAAATGTACAAAAAGTTTAAACAAGACAAATGCAATCTGGAGCCTAGAGCAGTTTTTTCTCTTATTGTAAGTCTAGTGCTGCACCCTTTTTGTTCCAGAGGGACACTGTTCAGTGTTCACTAACCGCTCATAGCAACAACCCTCTAGGATCACCTGCAGTCTGATGGGGAATTGAGTAGACTGCTTCAACTGCTTGATGAGTTAGATGACCAAGATCAATGGGTCAGGGCTTGTTTTAAGGTTGTATCATATTGTGTTCGTCATGAAGACTTGAGGTTACATTCCTTGCTCTTTCTGAAAACCATTTATCTAGATTGTAAATTTTGAATTTTGTGAATTATATGTATACTTGAGATTGAAATTTATATAGTATGGAGTATTCAGTAGTCAAGTGTTTTGCCTGCACTTCAAACAATATCTTTCATAATAAAGGTTACATCTATATTCCTTCCTCAGATTTGCATCTTTTGGAACCTTGACTTTACTAATCAAAAATTTATTTAAAGGCCTACATTTGGTCCCAGAGGTTTTCTTTACGCCATTCTGCATCTTATAGCCAGTTTGTTTTAAGATGATGGTTGATAAGTGAAATCTATGTGGTTGAAAGAGAATTGTTGTGAATCACATGTTCTTATCCTTAAAAGGAAGTGTGAGTTTATCTTGAGACGGATGAAAAAGGTGTGAAATTCAGAGATAAGTGTTGAATACTCTCTGATTAATTACCTTTCAAATGAAGGATATACACAAATATATAGAAAGCTAAAGACTATTTAGTAAAGGTATGACATCATGGGTGCTGACCTCATGAGCATGACCTTACTATTCAAGAACCCTTTTACAGCTATACTACAACTATTTCAAAAAAGGAAAGTGAAGTTTAATTAGGGACAACTGGAGTATTAAAAATTTTGGAGAATAAAAAAAAACTAGAAGCAAAAATGCCAGCTTATTGCCACCATTGTCCATATTAGCATTTATTTTCTGTTGATTTCATTTAAAAGCACACTACGGGTCATTAGTCATTTAGAAAGGGGAATTATTTGGTGTTGGCATAGGTCTGGTGACTTGGAGTGATGAGCTTGTGAGTTGCCCACTTGTTTGCTCTACCCGGAGAGGTGACATGGATTTGGTACTTGCTACCATTAGTAAAAGGCATAGGTTGCTTTTCGCTATGAAATATGTTGTAATTTATCATTAGCTCTTCTAAATTTTTTCTGCTATTGGATTAGCTTACTATGTCTCTTCTGTTTTTGTTTCCAGCTCTGCCATCGAGTTGCTCAGGAAACTTAAGGATATATTTTGCAATGATGAGTTGGCTTTGGAGTTTCTTTTTGATGAGGTTCTACTCATATCTTTATTATAGAGCTTCTAAGAGACTTGCACTATGTTTGGTTCATGAAATTTGGAAGGAAAAGAAAAGAAAACAGTTTTCTCTCATTTTCCTCACCAAAAGGGGAGGAATTTGGTTTTCCCTCTCTTAGTACATTTTTTCTTCTCATTTTCTTTTCTTTTCCTCTCTAACCAATATATATATATATATATATATATATATATATATATATATATATATATATATATAGATTTTGGATCAAGTGAGAATGCAATCTAATGAAAGAAATAAGAATGCATCTCGTGCATTAGATGTAAGAGATCTAAGGGCTTGAAAACTTCAATAAAACTAAAAAAAACTGAAAAACACGGTGGCATTATGGTAAATAAGTTTAACTTTACTCCTAGTGCCGAAAATGCACTACCACAATGTAAAAATGCATCGTGAAGGCATAAAAATGCACCATTCTCACGATAAGGTCTATTTTCGCTGTAAGGACCATTCTCACTTGAACCAACCCCTATATATCTGTGTGTGTGTGCGTGTATAATTTTTGTCATGATGGCTTAGGTATTCTACCGCTTTGTGGAGAAGGAACCAAGAACCCTGGATTTTGGATGGAATATGCTTCAAGCTATTAAGAAAGACTTTGGTCTTTGCCCATCTCGAAAGTGTCTTGATTTTCTCCTATGTGCTTGCATAAGTGCCAGGGATGTAGCGTCATGTTCCAAGATTTGGAGGGAGTATCAGGAAGCTGGTATTCCTTACAACTCACTAAGTTATTTGAGGTAAAATAAACTGCACACTCTCAAGTATATTCACTTGGTTTCTTTAGTTGAGCATCTGAGCTTTGCATACTAGTTGAACTTAAACTGATCCTCTATTTATTTATTTATTTAGGATATGTCTGGTTGAGGGAAATCTTGATTCTATTTTTCTGCGTTTGGTAACATTAGTGGAAGGAATTTTTTCTCCCAATGGGGGAAAATGATTCTTGTTTGATTTCCCCACCCCCACCCCCATATCCCTTACCGCCTCCTACCTTCGCCCCTACCACCTGCTACCCCTACCTCGGCCCCACATACACTACCATCCTCGTCCACCTCCACCCTGCCACCCCACTCCTCACCCTCCTAACCTCCTCCCGTCCGCACCCACCCCGCCCTGTCTACCCCCGCCAACCATCCCAACCTCACCCCCAACCCACCACCACAACACCCTATCCCCACTACCCATCGTCCCTCGTCACTTGCCACCCACCCATAAGCCCCGTGCACTCGCCCCCACCCCTTATCCATCCTGCACCGCCCCTGCCCCTTATGGTGCTAAAATATTGTTAAATTGTTTCAAAATATCTTTTTTAAAAAAATCAATTTTCAAATATTAACAATAGAAACTAATTTTTTTAAGAAAACATCTTCCTTCTTACCAAACAACAGAAAATATGATTGGAAAATATTTTTTCCTCCCTTAGAAAATATATTTATAGAAAAATATTTTCCACAAAACCAAACACAACCCTACTTGAGAAAATATTTCCCCCTCCCCAAATACTTGTTTTATATTGTGTATGGAAACAATGTGTATTTTTCATGAAGCCATAGTCAAGCGTGCGAGGGATCAAAATATGGATTTGCAACTGAAAGGATTGTTGTCTAAAAATGTAATTGTCATGCAGGCTGTACCAAACTGTTTTGGCATTGGGCTTACAAGACTTTGCAGAAGAAATTTTGAGTGAAATCCCGAAAGAAGATCCACATGTTTGTGCGGTCATTTATGCGTGCCAAGCAGCCTACAGAGATTCTCCTCCTCCCGTCGGAGCCAAGAAAAAGAAGAAAGCAAAGAAGAAAAACACGTGAAACCCAAACACTATATTACTCGCATTTTCAAAATAAAACGTTTCAACCCTTATTAGCTTCAAATACTCGAAAGCTTGTTTAGTTTTAGTTTACTCAAGTTTCTTCTTCTTCTTCTTTCAAAAACCAACCACGATGTAATGGGTTCGTTCTCGAGCAGTTTACATATAATGCTAATACAAAGAAATAGATTGTAGATTGTAGACTAGTGCTAGCAATTTCAGATGGAAATATTCCTAAGTGTATTAGCACCAATTTTTTAATAGTACAGTAGTATAGTACGAGGGTACAAAAGCCTCTTTTCCTTTTGTTCTATCTCTGACTTCTATTGTCCCAAAGTCATCCATGTTTGTTCAACATTCATTTGATCTTACAATTAGACAATTAGTGTGACAATGCCACTTTCTGGGCAAGTGATATAATTACTGTTAGCATTTTGTACTACGTATTTTTTAATGATGAAAACGTTAAAGTTTACCGTTGTCATTAGATAGCCTTATGAAAATGTCAAAGTTAAAAGTTGTGTGTTTTAGTGAATGGATATCCATTATTTTTTTAACCTATCACTTGTACTCTGAAATGGGATTTTCAAAAATGTATTCTATTGTGGACTTAAGGCCTACAAAGTACCCACAAATAAGTGTCAATGCCACTGTTTAGGCAAGTGATTATGATTAGTGTTAGAATTTTGAACTGCTCTGTATTTTTTAATGATGAAAACGTAAAGTTTAATGTTGTCATTAGATAGGCTTATGCACTATTGTTTTAACATAATACTTGTACTCTAGGATTTTCATACACCTAAGTGTATATTTTGGTACTAAATTCTATCGTGGACTTAATATTTACAGAGTATCCACGGAGAAGTGTGGCAAGTAAATTTTTAGGGTTAAGATGGGTATTTTTGATTTTTTAAAGAAGAAAACTTTTTTTATGTGAAATTTTTTGTGGAGTTTAGGTGCACCATAAAAAAAACTTCTTTCATGGCAAGAATGAGAGATGTTCCAATATACATTTCTTAGACTTTCTAGGCTGACTGTGAAGAACTCAAGTGGTGAATAGTGGGTACAAAATGGTCTTGTGTATGAGTTTGACTCCAAATGAATGTAGTGTGATCGTATTATATTTTGCATAAAAATCTTTAGTTATGATTAAGGATTATTTCATTCTTTTATAAGGCCAAATTAGGAGAAGGTATATGGTACATCCGGATGTACGTAGAAATAGATACATCCGGGTAGTACTCATTGTGAAGTAAAGTAGTATTCATTCTCGCACAAACATAATTATTCATTTTGAAAATGTGGTACTCATTCTAAAATAACGTAGTACTCATTCTAAAATAATGTAGTGCTCATATTCACACATTTATTCAATACAGTTATAATATTTATTCACAAATAACGCAGTGTTCATTCTGAATAAAAATAGTACTCATTCTTAAATAACTTAATGTTCATTCTAAAATAAAATAAAATACATATCATGAATAACCTTTTTCTCTTCAACTAGGGTTTCATCCCAGCATCTCCTCCATCTACAGCACCGCGACTTTCTTTCGCGACCCGACCCGCTTTAACGCCGCCGCTACCTTCCTTCTCCATCGTTTTCTCCAGATTTTCGCCACCATGTCATCTTCGCTACTCCATCGTCTTCTGTCTTCGTTGCTCCTTGTCATAACTGCCGCCACCTTCCGTCTTTCTTCTCCGGTGGCCCGACCCGATCGACAAATAGAGGAGACGCAGTAATTTCGGCGGCTTCCGTTCCATTTCATTCCTTCTTCAATTAGCCGGTTGTACCTAAAATTAGGTACAACCGGATGTACGATATAATTTGCGCCAAATTAGTGTGTAGTTTGAATGTAGTGTATAGTTTTTTAAATACACTATATAATTTTTATTTTCAAAATTTGTACCAATTTTGAAATAATTTGAATTGAAAAAATTATTTTACTCAAATACTCTCTCCGTCCATTTTTAATGTTCGTACTTTCCTTTTTAGTCCGTCCACAAATAAAGTTCGTGTTTCCTTTTTTGGTAATCTTTTTTATGTCAAAAGACTTAATTACCCTCACTTTATTTCTATCCTCTTCTTTCTCTCTTTTCCTCCACTCTTCACCGCCTCCCCACCCAACCTTTTTCCATCTTTTTTTTTCTTTTTTCTTCTCTCTTTTCTTCTTTCCCTCTTTTTTGTTCTTTCCTTCTCCATTCCCAGCCGTCCATCTTCTTCTTCTCCCCTTTGTTTCTCCTCTCTTCTTTCCACTCTATCTTTTCTCTTCTTTCTTTTTCCAGATTTCTTCTTCTTCTTCTTCTTCTTCTTCTTCTTCTTCTTCTTCTTCTTCTTCTTCTTCTTCTTCTTCTTCTTCTTCTTCTAC